TTATTTCTGGGGTTAGCAGTTTCCTGTTCAGTGTAATTTAATTACTTTCCTATCGTTAAATTTATTTTTAATTATTCGCACTTTAAATTATTGAAAATACATTCCTAAAGAGAAAATTTCTGGAATATTAATTTAATTTAATAACTTTGTTTCAGCAAGATCACTTGCTCATTTTAGTTAACCTAAACTTTTTATTCAAAATGTCCAAATATTTTATGTTTACTCAACGTTTCCCCGACAAAGTATGTAATAAAAACCTTAAATACAAGTTTTTAAGTGGCTCATTTTGAGATGTTAGTAAAAAAGGCTCTTTGAGAGGCGATTAATCTCCTCAGTGACACGAGGCAAACGTTTCTAGTTAACATCGTTTCGTGTGGTCGGCTACTTAAAAATCGCAGACTCGTGGCGAGGCGAAATCTCCCCAAAGAAGCGGCAAGTGAGCTGCTTCTTTTCTCGTCCGCCTTGCCGATCTCGAGTAGCGGGAACCCAATTAAACTGATTTCGAGTTGCCCTCGTCGCTTCGCTCAAGTCGGCTTCACCCGCACATCCCTTCTCTCCCTCCGCCGCCGCCGCCGCCCGCCCTACTCCCTGCCTCCAAGAGGGAGAAGCGGAGAGGGCGCTGGGTCGCTGGGAGTCGAAGCTACGAGGCACGGAGGTTGGGTGGCAGTGATACAGTGGGTTGAGATGATTCCGTGACACCGGCATTTTACACGTATACGCGTATGGATATTCATGCACATCTATGTACTGTATACACATTACTTTTTACTCAGGCAACGAACTCGAGATCCAGATGCACTCGGAAGAGATGATCCTTGGGGGCGGAATATGCCATAAATTTCATATATATCATAAACTTCAATATGATGATGATGATGACGACGATAAGGATGTTACGACTATTACAGTTAACAAACATTACGATGATGACTATGACGATACCGACACCTTACCAAGAAAGCCTTTGAACCCATGAAATTAATGAAATTACCGGTCACTGTTGCTTGTGCCCTTTATGCTGCTTAAAGTGTAAAGCGTTTATGGAATTGTATTTGCATGTATTGAAGAAGCGCAGCTTCAACTACAGTTGAGAATTGTTTTTACATGTAAACAATATTTCTTTCATGTGGTCGTTATTAGGACTGTCCGGCATCGATACTCCGCAGGCAGCAAGAGGCTATTTGAGTGTCAATCAACGAAGAGCAATCATAATTGAAACACAAACAACAAACAAACAAAGAATGTATTCTGTTCTTCTTAATATTACTTGAGATTGGGATCTTCTAAAAATGTAGAATCGAATAGAACGATTTCACTTCTTCTCGGTATATCTAAATATGTATCACTAATCAATCGAAAAGCTATTGAATAAATACGAAGAAATGTTGGCAAGTTCGGTATTCAGCTATTAATAATGTTAATAATTAACATTATATTACAATAAGAAGAATACCTCACCTGAATAAGTGTTTTTCAAGTTTAGTTTAATGTTTAGCGCTTACTATTTTCGTGACGTCTGACGATTATGAATTGTCAGTTACATCTTGGCAATGTTCTAACGCGAGATGACGAAAACCGTCAGTAACATTTGTTTCTCATTTCATAAGGATAAATATGTTATAAAATATCGAAATACTTCCATTTTAAAGTGGCGACGTTTATGAAGAGTTTCATTTACAAACACATTTTTAAAGTATTTTACTATCCCATTTGCTGTAAACCAAGGTAATAGGGAATGCATTATTTACCACTCGTAACTAACAGCTCAGTTTTCTATCACTGTGTATGCTCGTATAACTAACAGATTCATTAAAAGGTCAACATGTTTGACCCACATATGCTTATTCGCGACTTTTGACACAATCTGCGACTTCTTTTGACCCAGTGTGCTCCGTAGGTTGCGAGGGGAGATATAAGGAGGAGCGATGGAAGTTACCATGTTCGAGAATCCGGAAAAAAATCCACCGAACAAATTGCATCGGGAGCAGTTGAAGGTTCATTTCACTTCCCGAACTTAGATTCTGGGCCCCGGGAAAGGGGAGAATTTCTGGTTCTGATCGTTTCGGAGCGAAAGGAAAACAAGGCCGGAGATAAAAAAGGCTGCCGCGTCTGCCGCCGGAGAACGCATTTACAACTACGTTAAACAGTTGTTTCTGCCGTCCGAAAGGGCGCTGCGAGGCACGAGGAAACGGAACGCGCACCTCTCTTTTCACTCGCTCTTTTTGGCGTCGTTCGCTTCTCGCAAATGATTCGCGATTTGTTTGAGATGAGGGATGGAGAGCGGAATGTTTCTGTTGTGCAAAGGCCATTCTATTTTTCAGTGCACCGCGAACGATACTTCCCTGCGAACTCCGACCTTTCGGGGGCGTCGCCAGTTCGATTGGGATTGCCACGGGTCGACACGGGCGTTAATTTTTACGCGATGCGTTTTGTCTTGTTTTTGTTGCGTTTGTTTTTCCTGTCACGGAACGCCTGTCTGGGACGTTTTAAAAAGAGGCCAGTTATCGTTGCTTGATGAATCGTTAACGTGTTCGGAACTGTTTGCAAAATGAAAACGACGTTCCTAAAAAAAATGGAAATGGATTAAGCTCAGGTCATTTCACAGAGTAATTTGTATCGCCGTCAGGATATGAGGCAATATTGAAAATATCCTCCTGTTCTCTCTTTCCTCCGTTTTTTTGTAAATCGTTCAACGTGAATCTGGGCTACGCAAAGGATCAGACATTTTAATAATCAATGCAATGGATAATTGGAAATCGTCTTTGAATAGTCTGCACAACATAAGTTATTACTCTATATATTTTAGAAACATAACATATGAGTATTCAGACCAATTTCTTGTTTACAAAGGAAACCTTTAGAAAGAACAAATAGTTCCCTTTGATACATTTTGAGAAAAATAATGTAATGATTAGGGTCGTGAAATAAATCTTAATGACTGGAGGAGACGGCTCAGTGCATCAACTGATGTTACTGCAGTTCCTCTGTCCGGAAGGTTCTAAGTTCGAGTCCCGACTGTCACGATCTGGAGGAGAATTCTAGCGGCCGCCGCTCTGGTTAGTAGTTTTCCGTTTTTTCTCCGATCAAGAACAGGCGAATGCCCGAGCAGTACCCTAACAAACGGGCCACGGACCGCGCGCGATCTCACCTTCCACTTCCTAGTCCTACCCTTACCCCTCACCCCTTACACTCACACACACACACACACACACACACACACACACACGCTAACACGCACTACTCTACCACACATGCTGGGAGGTTCGTTAGAAGCTAAGAGCTTGGCCCAGCTGGGAGGGGGGTGCCACGCTGGTGGGAGATAACTGGTTGGGAAAAAGCCCGCTAGCTGACGGTAGGTCGGCGCCGGATCTCGCCATACAGCGAAAGAAAGATCACCGCCACCTGCCGAGCAAAAACAAGCATTACACTTACGGGACTAATGACCCTGGTAGTTGACGTGCCCGAAATCACTAAACAATCAATCAAGTCTTAATGCAAAAAAAATATATATTTTCAATTTAAATGACTCTTTCTCAATGAGATACGATTATGAGGTGTATAATTTGAAAAGCAACATTTTGCTATTAAACAGGTATTCGAGTTAAAAAATGATTTGCCTGGTACCATTCTTTATGGCGTTTAAACAGTTAATAGCTCGAATATTTTAGTTGAAACGTACGAAACAGGTTAATCTCGGTTCTTGACAGATTACCGATAATTATTCAGCGCATGATTATCGAATTCATGTTTAAGGCACATAATGCACTAGAACACGAAATGTCAGATATGTCGATAATCATTTTATACGAATCGTGTCCACGTCGAAAACGCGTTATGCTCTAACTTAAATAACTCCATTTCCGAAAATAATTATAGTGGCTTTGCGTTTTTTAGGGTATTATGTAACATGGTCCCATTCTTGCCCGCCTGTTGAACAGTGAGACATGAGAAAAGGTTTTTAGAAGGACCCTCGCCATTGCTTCCATTGTATGCACAACAAAGCTGGGGCTAGGTTTCGCCCACTGAACGATCCCACCTACGCTCCCTCCCCTCCTGACCTCACGCCCCTATGACCTTCACTTGCTCACCTTTGCCTTCCTCCCGCATTGTCAAGCTGGATGGGTGAGACACCCAATGCTCGGATGAAAAGAACGTTCGTGTACGAGATTGTTGTCGTTCGTTATTCTATAGGGTCGACTCCTGGTATCGGAGACAATACAGAGCTGTGCAGTCTGCAGTGACTTGCATTTATTTTCTCTCTCTCTCTCTCCCTCTCCCTCTCTCTCTCTCTCTCTCTCTCATTCTCTCTCTGTCGCTCTCTCATTCTCTCTCTGTCGCTCTCTCATTCGCTCTCTGTCGCTCTCTCATTCGCTCTCTGTCGCTCTCTGTCGCTCTCTCATTCGCCCTCTCATTCGCTCTCTCATTCGCTCTCTGTCGCTCTCTCATTCGCTCTCTGTCGCTCTCTCATTCTCTCTCTCGCTCTCTCATTCTCTCTCTGTCGCTCTCTCATTCTCTCTCTCTCGCTCTCTCTCCTCCATGGTCAGTTTTTCCCACTTACATCTCTCTCCTTTTCTCTTCTCCTCCCTCCCCTCTTTACTTTTGCATCAATGTCCATTGGACAATCTTCCTGACAAGACTTACACAATTGAGAGTGCTGTTGCTCGTGAAAAATCGTATTTAGACATGAACTACGTATTTGCAATATTTATAAAAAAATGGATGTGTGATTTTACTTTACATTACTTTTATTACCACCACATTGTATTTGGAAGCATCATCTCTGAAGTATTCAGTAGCCCCAATTTACAATAATATCTAAAACTTCAAATTGTGTGACGTTCATGATTTTTGTGTGTCTACGAATGACTGAGGTACCGTTAATTTTGTAGTTATAGAAAGTTGTTTACGGTAAATGAGGTTAAGTCGTCTTGATAACATTGCTGCACTATCTTGCCAATGGAGTTGGCTATGTTACAAAGCCCGATTTAGATTTCCTAAACATGCTGGGTAAATGAAATATAGTCGAAATTAATGGAGCATTGTATATGCTGTTTAACGTTGGTATATAATGCCTGATTTTCTGCAACGTCGACGTTTAAAGAACCTGAAAATAAGTACCTGAGAAGCAATAAAATAATGCACTTGTGTAATGCTCATCCACAATTTAATGGGGTTTAATGGTGCGTGCTATTAATTATTAACGCCTCTGTTTCCTTTACGTAGATACATCATGTACGTGTGATATATTATTTGTTTCTTTTCCTAACTTCTTGAATGAATATACTTTGCCAAATGGCGGATGAAAATGTAGACTTAGCTAGTATTTCACCTTGTGATATATTGTCATCCATGATTGAGTAAGAAAGGTGAGATAAGGTATGATAATTGTTCTTTTTCATCAAATTTTTTTTACCGTGTGATTTGCGCTGTAGTATATTCAATGTATTAATCAATGATAATTCACCTTAAACAACACTCTTGTACGCCCTAATGGTATGACTTCGCATCCATCCTAGTCGCATTTCGCCCGTTTTCCTCGCCCTACCCTTTATCTTTTGTCTCCTCATCTTTACGTATAACATTTAGCGTGTCGGGCAAGTTTGCGGGTCAAACCCAATCGAGGCCGAAATCTTTCGTATGCCTTTCTTCGGAAGGGAAGTAAAGCCGGCTGTCCCATCTAGTAGGTTTACTGCATATGTAAGATACTCAAGCCTAAAAAAAGTTTGAGGTAAATTGGAATTGCCTGGTTTGTCACCCGAGATGATACCTTCTTTCTCCTCCGCTAGATGGATGCTAGCGAAATTTGCGTGGTCAGACGGAAGAACGGTCAGAGTCTCGCCACGTAAAATAAGTCATAAACTAATCGAATGCCCGCGTTATGTCCAGTGCCATTTGTCTGCCCCCGCCCTCGCTCACCGTGCATCGCGTGAGCGCAGGGGCGTGCGCGCAAGCGTGCTCACGCGTGCGTTGGAGCGGCGCAGATCCGCGTTTCCTGCCGGTGCGGCGCGAAGCGGTGAGGTCGCGCGTGCTTCGGTGGCGTCCGCGGCGGGAGCTCATGCCTCGCCCGGAGGCGCGCGACGCGACGCTACGCGACGAGGGCGTGGCACCCCGCCCTCTGTCACTGGGGATGTGCCTTTTCCCTGCACACCTTTCTGCTGTCGTACGAGAACACGACTGCACTAGATTGTAAACGCTGCGAATCCGCGACATAACGTCCAGATTCTCTTCTCTGTATAATTTCGAAAAATTGAAATTTCAGATATGCATTTCTTTCGAATTGGTTTAGTTTTTTTTTGAGAGGACTCTTCCGTTTTAGTGCGAGTATTAGTTTTCGTTTACAATAGTTTGCTCAATTTGAAGAAATTTTGCGCATTTTAGAGCAAAGTAAACAATTTTGTTGATACTGCGCTATTTCTCAAAGCGAAAAACAAAATATTTCTCTCTACTGCAAATTTTATCCTATTTTTTTCGCTAAACCATATTTTGTAATTAGTTATTTTATGTAGGGCAATCTCCGACAGGAAATATTCTCTTTTAAAATAGAGGTGGATGTGTTATATATTATGTTTTAATTTTATTAACAATTTTGGTAAATGTTCATTAACATAACCGCTTCATTATATATGCTTTTTAAGATTTTATTTTTTAATTTTATTACCTTACCTATGATACCTTAATTTTGTGGATGAGTACTTAATCACCCTGTGTTTAAACTTCTATTATTTCTCTCCCATTTGTTCCAGCTGAGTGTTTTAAAGAATTCATAAAATCGGGAGCACGTCTAATGGTCTTTACAAATTATTCCATCCGTTTAATGAGTCGAGCAACTAACAGACTCTCTCCTCCTTCCTACACTCCTCTCTTGCGAGTGTACTACACTCGAACTAAATGCGAGTTGCCTGCACACAGGTCAAACGGCAACATCCCTTAGGACAGAATGCGTGTAATTCCAGTAGTTTTGGTACTGCGATTTGTCATGGCCTCTGCTTCTCTCTAGCGCCCCACCCAGACCGGGACAAAGTTAACCAACGCAGTCATTAATATCGAACTTCATTTTGTTCCAGGTGAGCGCGCAAAATGGCCGTTGGCTCCGCCGGCGCTGCAGGCGCCCCCGCCGCCGCCTCCGCCTCCGCCTCGACGTTGCCGTCGGGGTTTCCGCCCGAGTCCGGTAGGCCGCGCTGGTGCGCTCGGTGACTGGGCCGGCAGCCACCGCCGCCGCCGCCGCCGCCGCCGCCGCTTTCCTTTGTTTCCAGCGGCGCTTACAATTAACGTTATGACCGCTAAGCCCCCGCTAAGCTTAAAACGCACGACTCTGCGAAAGCGCGAGTAGACGCTTCACTCTTTTGTGATAGATACGGGGCGTTATCGTTTGCTGCGGCTCTAATTACAAAAATGCGTTTAGGATTCATTTCTAAAGTTCTTGAATGGGAAGATATTTTATGTCTGGAGGACGGCGTGGCGGCGCGCACTCGAGTCGTTATTGTTTGTTCCTCGGCTGCTTCCAAGCCCTCCACGCGCCAAAAGGGGGAGGGGAAGAAAAGTTCCCGAATTCGCCGCGCCTCGCAAGGAAATAACAAAATGAAACTGGAAAACAAAGTGTTCCAGCAATGCCGCACACTGGGGTAGACATTGCGACTATTTGTTCTCAACATTTTTTGAAAAGCTGGCAAACTTCTTATCATTACGATTTTTGTGGAAATGAAAATTTGGCGTTAATAATGAACTGGGAAACAACAACAATATACCAGAGTGAACTTGTTACATAAAAAATTAACCGTGCGTAGTGGTAACTAATACTTCTAAACTTCTTTAATACGTAAGGTAAAGTAGTTCCAATATCAATATTTGAAAGTATATTAAAGCATTTTCAAAACTTTCAAAAGTGATTGCATAAATATACTGAGAAATTTCCTTCTTGATTCCTATTTGTTGCTCCAAGTGTAAATAAAACCAACATTAGGAACCTTAGTTTATCAAAGTAGAAATCTAGAAAGGTTCGAAAAATAATAGATCTCACCAAAACTCTGCCCCACTTCTAAAAATTTCTGGCACTGTTGAGCAGAAGTATCTTTATGTCTTGAATTTCACTCTGAAGCCGGTACAGTAGCGAATAGTAATTTGTAGAAAGTCAAATGCGATTTCCGGTTGGCAAGTGAGTAGGATTTCATACTCGTAGCTGTGTTCGTAGGATCTCCAGCGCCGCACAGATAGGTTACAGCTACCGATATTCTCTGTGCGAATAGATAGAAGGGGTGAGGATGGGAATTGGAACGAGTGGTGGGAAGTCGTTAAAGGTCTCCGTTTTCCATGATTCAATTCTCGATGCACCGCGCGGAAGCAAACACACCGATTAGCGCCTCGATTGGCGCTATCTGGCCGAAAACGACAGAGCCGTTGTTTTCGATTTCGCTCTCATTTCCTTGTTTTTACGATAGTACCATCATCTGTCTAAATTTTCCTTAAACCTCCTTGAACACAACGTTGGATGTTAATTATTAATACCTTTTAATGTCAAACAAATAGCGTTAATTGAATGGAATTTTATAATTATCGTTTCGTCTGAATCCAATATATTGACTGAAAAATCTGTAAAACAACTGAAGACATTTTGCAAAGGGTTTTAGACTTTTACCTCGCAGAATATTCTGTGAGATAAAATCAATATTCAAAGTTATTACCACCAACATTTCTTGATAATCCTGCATCAATGGTTTACTTCTTTTAAAAAATACCTCAAGCAATTCACGTTAATCTTAGTCGGATAGGTCATTGTCTTTACGAGATAAACGTTCCCGGTTTTTTTAATTATAACCCTTCTTTGCATTTTCCATGGCCTTTCTTCCAAAAAGTAAATTAGTCTCAAGAGCTCACCGTTCTTCAGAGCAGAGCTTTCTGTCTCGAATGTACACAGAAATGGGGGAAGTAGATGGTGACGTGCTGCGGTGAACTAACTAGCCAGAAAACCTTTCCAAGATTTCATCACATTAATCAAATTTGGTGTTGGCTTTTGTTTTTACAGAAAGAGATTTTCGATGTTGCCTTATTGAAGGGGAGGAAGTGTGCTGCTTCTGGGAAATTAACGCAAAGAAAAGTAGCGCATTACGGACCCTGATTGAAAAATAAATGAAGGTGTGCTTTCAGGAAGACGGAGCAAGGATACCCTTAATTCGTTCGCTGTTAATTCTTTTCCTCTTTCCTTCAATTTTCCTTCCGGCGCAGTACTCCGTTGCTTGCGGTTTCAGGTATCTCCTTTGCTTCGTAATTTCCATCTGAGCTTAATGTTCGAGACGAATTTGAAAGCGAAATATCGGAGTGAAAAACTCCCATTATGTTCTTTTTTACATTTTTCCCTCCTCAATAATTATGTTATCATTTCAAGTTTAGAAATACTTAGAACCAATTTTTGAATATTTTTGCTGTTAGCATCTTTTTTTAGGTTTTGTAAATCTGGAAAATAATCTACTGCTACATTATTTCTTAATGCCAAACTCAAACTTTCAATTTTGGTATTTTGACATAAACGGTAATAGTCAAATTACACATGAGCAACGTGAACAAAAAAAAATTGCAAGGTACTTTAAATAGTGAGAATTACTTTTGTGAAAAGCGAAGAGATTAGATAGATAAAATTACGATTTAGAAGCATGGTAAAATACTTGTATTAAAATTTTATTAATTAATTATTGAATGACAGTTATAATTATTAGTTATTATTGATTATTAGTTACAGTTTATTATTGATTGACAGTATATAATTATGTTTGAAAAGCAAGTAACTTAGATTTAAAAGATATTCAAATTTATCATTATCATAATTGTTTTGTGATATTTTAATATTAATTTTCTACGATTTGAATGGTGTTGGGAAGAAAATGATATGCACATTTGAACGATTTATCCATTATTTTTCGGAAAATAAATTCCTTCAAACACAAATAAATTTATTTTGCTGATTATATATTCGTGGAATTACATTGTAAGAAGTAATTCTCGTATTAGAAAATTATAAAAACTTAGCTCTTGGGAGAATAATAGTGTTTACGTAAGAAACGTTTCTGAGAGCCTTTAGTAAAGAAGTACCAACAAGACAGTCTTCTGCTCCATTGGCACTTTTTGCAGTGCCCAT